GTGCACACACTGGAGAAGGAGTGCACACACTGGAGAAGTGCACACACTGGAGAAATGCACATGCTGGTGAAGAAGTGCACATGCTGGAGAAGATGTGCAAACGCTGGAGAAGTGCACACACTAGAGAAAGAGTGCACACTCTGGAGAAGGAATGCACATGCTGGAGAAGATGTGCACATGCTGGAAAAGATGTACACACACTGGAGACGATGTGCACACGCTGGAGAAGGAGTGCACACTCTGGAGAATACAAGCAGCTGTTCCAAAAAGAAACCCAGTTACAAAACTCCTTGTGGGTCTAGACTCCATTCTGACTGGGAAAAAAACTTGAAATACAGAGGCTGGATACACCACTTGACTTTGAAAATAAACAAAGTTTGATGTCGATGTCTGTGATATGTCTACGGTTTTGTGACATTCTCAGAGGAAAGGCTGGCTCAAAATAAGTATTACTGATGAGAATTGTGACCTGGGTGCCTGAATCCTTCAGGCAAGCCTACATGGTTTCTCAGCAGAGCCTGGATCCTGCAGACAAGCCTACGTGGTTTCTCAACTGAGCCTGGATCCTGCAGACAAGCGACATGGTCTCTTATCTGAGCCTGGATCTTGCAGGCGAGCCTACATGGTCTTTTATCTGAGCCTAGATCCTGCAGGCGAGCCTACATGGTTTCTCAGCTAAGCCTCAGGACTGGAACACTTGAGGTACGCTCTTTTCTGATACGAAATTCAAATGTTCTCAAGCTATGTGTGAAGATATATGCAACCTTTAATACAGGAATGCAGAAAACAATCCAATCACCTAGATAGATTTTGGCTAAAATTGCAAAGGATTGGTAGGTTTTCTTCTATACAGCACTTTAAAACAACAACAAAAAGACAAGATGCCTTTTGCCTGCGGGTAAAATTATAGGTAAACACACTACCAATAATATTCCTAGATGATATATTTTTATTTTTATTTGTTTGGTTGGTTGTTTGGTTGGTTTTCTGTCTGTCTCTTGTTTGTTTGTTTGTTTGTTTGTTTGTTTTGAGACGGGGTCTCACTACATAGCAACTCACTGTGTAGACCACATTGGCCTTGAACTCACAGAAATTCACCTGCCTCTGCCTCCCACGTGGTTGGCACTAAAGGTTTGGGCCACCATGCTCCGTCCCTAGCTGATGTTCTTGAAGTTTAAAACTAGCAACCTTTCTCTCTACTGACACAATCTGAGCTTCACTTGTTACACAAGTTACACTTATGTTACACAAGAAAATCACGGCCATAGCTGCAGATACACTTCATAAGCAGTCAACCATCTGTCCATACTGTGGTGAATAGGATGTTTCAAGGGTCCAAGAGAATAAAACTAACAGCCTGGTCCATTGGATCATAGAGATGAAGCCCTTTTAGACCTTAAACATCTAAATGAAATCCTAGTCATTCAGTCTAGTCTTCAGCACAAGTACGGAGATGCGTTTGTGCAAGAAAAACAAAAACCTGCTGGATATGCTAACTCAACTCATAGCAGATTTAAGTACTAATCAGACTCCAATTTATTAATTGACCATAGGGGATATTCCTTTCCAGTAATCAGAAAACATGAACCTGAGTCCAGAGGGCTACTTTCTCGATGTTCGTAGAATCCTTAAATAATCATCAGACGTTTACCAAATATTAGAAAGAGGACACAGAGAATGTGAGGAATGCCTACACAGATTAGTTATGAGTGCCCAACAAAAGCTGTGACTGTCGCACAGGCAAACCATGGTTCCCTTGGTTATCACTGCCTCACCACGGCGGACTTCCAGCTGCTTCTCCCCACTGACTATGTCCAGCTAAGACACAGTACAGCTGAAGAGGATTCCCCTTCCATTCATTTCTTTTTGGATAAAATACTCCTAGAAAAAGCAGCTTAAGCAACTGGCCCGAGGTCACGGCTGCTACTAAGTCACAGAGATTCCAAGTCAAAGCACATAGGGCACAGTGGCGCAGGTCTGTACGCTCAGCACCGCGAGGTTAAAGGAGGGGTGGTGTAAAAGATTGCTCTTGTGTCCCCAGAGCACCATACTTCCACTTTTGCTCTAAGAGTCTATCTCTCTTATTTGTCTGAAATTTCTGGGGAAGAGAAGTGGAGGTCAGTCATCCCGAGAGTTCTACAGATAAACATGCAAGCTTATTTGACCAGTAAAAAGCCCAACAAACCAAAAGCCTCAAACTAGCCTTAGAGCCTTAAGCAGGTCACCACGTCTCTGGCCATCAGCACCTCATCTAAAAATCAGGATGAAATCAATATATATGGATGAGATATACAAGGATATATACATGTCTCTTCTGAATCTCAACAGTACTTTTATGGCTTGTCTTATCAGTATGAATTATCACAAATAAGGTTTAACATATTTACCCTCTTGCTGTGTGTGTTTGTGCGCATGTGTACACACACAACTCACAGTTCAGGAAAAGCTCCTTTTCTGAAAGGCTGTAACTACCATCCAAAAAGTCAAACAGTGGCACCCTCCTCTGGTGAATGTTAAAGGAGCCAAGAACGCAAACAGCAAGAACTAGATGCTGGGATCTTTTTCAAATGAAGACCAAGAGAATAAAGAAGACAAGAGAGAAGTCACTCAGTAGTATCGGTTATTATCCCAATCCTAATAGCAACCTAATAACGCATTTATAGCACTTCCTATTTTACCTTCTTAAGATAAAACAAAGTCAAAGGGAACTGACTGCATGTGATAACAGGGGCTAAAACAATTGCCCTGTTTCTGTGAGGCCTGGTATCCTTAACTATTTTACAAACAGCAAGCGTTTTAACAAAAGGTGCAATAAGAAACATTTCACAGTTTGGCTAATCATGGTCATCTTCTCAGTTAATACTTTCTTAAAATGCAATGAAAGTTGCGTACATGTAAAATGCTGAGTTAAGGGAAGCCTCCAGCACACCCTTTTTTGGGGTGGTTTATCTACCCCAGGCACTGCTAGAAAGTTCTCAACTGAAACTTCCGGCTCTGCAGCTCCCACGTCTTCAAAGACTCCAGTGAAAAGATTCTAAGCATCCAATCCCAAGCGTGAGCCCAAATCATGCCAATATGTCCCATCTAGACAACCCCAGGCCAGTGTTCTACAGCTCAGATATTCCACCAAAACTTGTAGAGCTGTACTTTCCAAACCCGGAGTCAGATTATCATCAACTGTCTTACTATAGATAGATAATAAAGAGAAGTTTATTAAATTATTGACATGCAGAAAAAAAATCAGTTTCCCTCGACCGCACTGGGTCCAGGCACATGAAACGGCATTATGACTCAGTTATTCCCCTGTCACCCTTGGTACTTACTCAGGTATCTTTTTGCACAGTATGCAACGTCTCCTATCTCAATTAGCATACCATGTTTCAGCTACTCTGTGGTCAAGGGGAGGAGCACTCCAAACCACCCGGAGACTTCAAAAGTATAATGAACGAGAAGCTTTCATTCTGAAGAACCCATTATAAACAGGCAGAGGGGATGGGGAAAAAACGCTTAAAGTCTAATTCCAGTCTTATCATCTAAGCTTTGCAACTGTTTGGCATTCTCGGCAAAGTTGGCAGGTAGGCACCATACCTGGGCAAGATATGCAAATGATGAGTGGAGAATGCAGCTAAGGTAACCAGTCGAAAGCTTCCTCGGTGTTTACCAAAACAAGCAAAAGCAAAACACCACTGGACCACAGAATACGCAAACACCCGAGAAGGAGGACAAGCCCTCCAGTTCCTTCCAGTCCAACCAGAGGAGAAAGATGGATAAGAATGTGGTGGGGAAGAAGAGGCAGAGAAGAAATAGGTGATAAGGAATGCTGCCAAGAAAGAGGGGGGGGGCGGGAGCAATCAAACAGTTACAAGTGTCCAACCGAGACAGATGTCAGGACTCGGCTGCTTAGCTCTGTAGCCACATTTTAACACTCACAGCGACTGGGCACAGGCCCAAGGGCAGGACCTCCAGGAAACCTGAGACTCCACACACCCCAGTGTCAGAAATTTGCGAGAAAGACCTAAAGCAGGCTTTAGCCCATTTCCTGCTCCAGAGATTTCCTGCTCTAAACCCCTAACAAAGGTCTTTAGAAGAAAAGAGACATCGGTATCCCCAAGCTGGTCACTGCACAGAGGTCAGATGTGGCCACCGTCTGCTCTGAGCACAGCCACCTCTCCAAAAACCAGGCAGCCAAAACCCACCAGCAGGGAGGTATCTCTGTCCCCTGTCCCATTGCACTGGCAAAGTTGACAGACTTGGGAAGAAGCACAGAGTTGCCGCTGGGGGTCCTTCCCTAGAGCGAAGGAAACGAGAGAAGTCACCGCTTCCTTCACCTTCACTGAGTCTATCCAGTAGATGCAGGCTTCTTCCCTTTAGGGGTGCACCAAAGACAGCTAATTCGTCTCAAACCCTCGAATCAGGACACTGAGGCCCGAGGACAAACAAAGTTCACTGGATATACTATTATTTCTCCCCGGAAAACTAGCAGTTATTACTGGCATCTGACCTTGGTAAGTTTGTGTTAAAACGGCACGAAATATCCAGTGTGTGTCTCGGCTACACTGAACGCTCGGACCCCAAGATCTCTTTAGAGGGGTCTTGGCAACTTAAATCACATCTGTCATCACCCCAGGTCATCACCACGCCCCTCTCACCCAGATCCGACCCCGCCACGCACGCGACGCCCGGTTATTTACACGCGGACGGACCCAGAGAATTCCTACCTCGCCGCCGTGCCCATCGAAGATCCCGAAGATGGACGGGTGCGTCTTGTTGGCCAAATCGGTGAGAACTTCGAAGCGATCTTCCATATGGTCTCTCCGGCCCTGGATGGAGTACACCGCCACATTATGGCTCTTGAACTCCCAGGTCTTGGAAAACTCGGCCTCCAGCACATCAAGTCCTCCAAGGCGATCGTTCTGCATAATCTCGGCCACCTTGCCCTTCACCATCTTCACCGCGTCCCGGCTGGACTTGACGATGGTCTTCACTTCGTCGGTGTGGAAGAAGTAACTCCACAGAGCCAAGCTGATGCACAGCAGAAAAAGCGTCTCGGGTCTCAGCAAGAAGTAGCGCATGATGCGACCCAGCAGAGACAGCAAAGTCATTGTATCCTCTATCATTTATTATCCCTAGAGCCCCAACCAGCAGCAGCGACGCGCGCCCCGCAGTTCGCAGGGTCCGAGCTCTGCGGGCACAGCCCGCAGGGACCGAGGCGAAGAGGCAGCCCGGGCCGGGAGGATGAACCCACGACGGGTCGGAACAGGCGCCCAGAGCGAAGGCAGTTTCCCTTTTGTCTAGGCAGCCCCGAGGCCCGTGCCCGCCGCCCGCGCCGCCTTCCTTCCCCGCGCTCTTTGTGAGACCGCAGCGACGGCGGCGGCGGCCGCCGCGGGTGCCCTGGGTGGGCGACAGGAATCAAGTTAAAGTTGCGCCGAGCGGGTCCGCAACGGTGAACAGAATTTCCGGGAACCGACGCCCTCGCGGTTCTTTTGGGGGTCCCCCCTCGCGATTCCCGGGAGCGATCGGCAGGTGAGGAAGCGCAGGGAGCAAGAGCCCGGCGGCGGGCGAGGGTTGCACGTCCCCTCGATCGCCGGTGCCGGCGAGCGTGGCGACAGCGGAGCGCTGCGATTTCGTCACACACCCCGGGGGAGCCCGAGACAATAAAAGTTTTGCGGGCGCCTGGGCAAAGGCAGGGAGACAGCGAGCCGGGAAACGCAGCACGAAGGGTGCGGAGCCACCGGCAGGCTCTGCCTGCCTCTCCCCGGCACCTCGCGGCTCGGCTCGGCTCGGCTCGGCTCTGCTCGGCGGCGCCCGGCTCCGCT